GGGAATCCCAGAACACTTGATCATGCTAATGAGAAACCTATACTTGGACCAAGAGGCAGTCGTTAGAACAAAGCAAGGAAACACTGCATGTTTCAAAATCGGGAAGGGCCTACGTCAGGGATGTGTCCTCTCTATATACCTTTTCAACCTGTATGCAGAACATGTTATCTGGGAGGCTCGGCTCTATGAGGAGAAATGTGGGGTCAAGATTGGTGGAAGATCTATCAACAATCTGTGTTATGCAGATGACACAACCCTGCTTGCTGAAACTGAGGAGGACCTGAAGCACTTGCTGCAGAGGGTCAAGGACAACAGCCTCTAATATGGATTGAGGCTCAATGTCAAGAAGACAATTGGGTCAATTGGCAGCATCAGGGTGGATGGTGAAGAGATTGAGATCGTTCACAGCCTTAGTTTGCTTGGCTCCACAGTCAACACTCTCGGCACAAGCAGCCAGGAAATTAAAAGACGTATTGCGATGGGAAAGTCTGTTGTTAGGGACCTTTCAGAAGTACTGAAGAGCAATGGTGTCTCTCTGGAGACTAAGGTGCATTTGATACAGGCCAGGGTCTTTGCTACCACTTGTTATGCATCAGAGAGTTGGACAGTGACTAAGGAGGATAGAAAGAGAACTGATGCCTTTGAGCTGTGGTGCTGGAGAATAGTATTGAGGGTACCATGGACTGCTAGGAAAACAGATTCATCCCGGAAAGGGTGAAACCGGGCAGCTCCCTGGAGGCATGGACTCTGAGGCTCCGTCTAACATACTCTGGACATGTTGTAAGGAGGGACAGGTTCTTGGAGAGGGACATCCTGCTTGGGAGGGTGGAGAGATGGTGCAGGAGGGGAAGACCCTCTATGAGATGGACTGATTTCAGTGACCGGGGTAATTGGGATGGGAGTGTCAGAGACAGTGTGAATTGGCACAGGACAGAGCCGAGTTTTGGGATGTTGTACAGACGGTCGCTATGAGTCGCAAGCTACTCGACGGCACATAACAACCACCACCTTTCCTATGGTGCAGGGTAAAACAGGGTTCAGATCTTTTGTTCAGAGGGTCGCTATGAGTTGTGTTCAACTCAAGGGCACCTAACAACAACTACCACCTTTCCTATATTGCTCACACATCCCTGGAGGTTTGAATTCACCAGCATCACTTATGGACAGGAAGATGGGCAGTCTCTTCCCATTGTGACTTACAGGCTCGGGAACCAACAGAGGATCACGATGAGGTGGAACTGACTTCGTGACAGTGGGTTTGGGATTTTTTTTATTGTCTTATTTCACATTATCATTTTACAACAACAAAAAACAATCAACAAAACTTTATATAGTCAGCGTGGGTGTCTCTCTCACTAACTCGGCCACCAGATTAGTAGCACAACTCACTATGGACTAAGCTACCACAGAGCTCTCTATAGGAACCAAATGAAGTTCTAATATACGGAAACTTCTTATTTTATCTGACAAAAGACTGAATACAATTTTATCGTTGCTGCAGTTATGTGCCAAGTCAGTACCAACTCACAGCTGATTCTCCAGAGGCTGTAAATTACACAGGAGACTCTATCTTTCTCACATGGAACAACTAGTGGGTTTGAACCTCATGTCTTCTGGGTTGACAGCACAGCTCTTTAGCACTAGGCAGCCAGAGCTCCCTAAATTTTACTGGTAGTGAGTATTAGGGGAAGGTGGTCGGGTTTCTGTGTGGGTGTGTGTTCTGGTCTTCAGCCTCTCATTGAGTCTTTCTCCAGAGGAATCACTGGGAGATTCCAACTGCCAAAAATAGGCCAGACCTTTGGGTGAGAAGCATAGCTCCCTAGGATTAGGACAAGCCACCACTGTTGTCACAGTGTACTGTCAAGTTAGAACCGACTCACAGCTGACCCTCCAGCGGATTTTCAATGACAGTAAAATCACACAATTTACTATACTAGTGACTACAACTCTCACATGCTCACTCCACAAATTTCTGCTGAGCTAAGCATGGAATAGTAACAGGAGACAGGAAATAGTTTTATGGCCAGTACTCAGTTTATCTTTTGGATGAAGAGGACACAAAGAAATAGTACTACAATAAAATAGTCCAAGAGTCTATCAACTTTATTTCAAATACAATGCAAGTTTTTCCATGGGTATAAAACCCAAATCAGAATGTTTTTAAGTTTTATAACAATAAGTGGAACTCCATCCAATGCATTACCTGTATGTATCTAAATGGGTTTATTTTAAAAATCGCATTCATTCAATAAGCATCTGAGTCTCTACGATTTGCCAAGCACTGAAAAGTTAAATCATACTTCCTGAAGAAATTCATAATCTAGTTGAAGAAAAACAAAGATATAATTAGAATGTGATGTGATAGAAATAGAGACAAGTAAAAGGTATTGAAAGCTTAGAGGCAATAATCATCAAACCTCCTGGGTGACTATGTCGTTTTAAAGTCATCAAATATGGCACTTGGAAAAATAGGGAAATAGAAGTACTGGCCTAAGCTTTCAAAAACGTCCAGTGCTGTCGTGTAAACGATGGAAGAAAAAGTTACTAGAACCAAAGCTATCAAACCTTTAAATATTAATGATGCTTTTTACCGGCTTAATTTAAACATAAACTGTTTCTCAATTTGGCATTGCAAAATTTCCAATTCTACCAAGCCTTGTTAACCTTAAATATGTAAACTGCCAAGTGCATTTTCAATTCCACCCCCATTATCATGTCCCGAACAAGTTCTCAAAGGGTGTTCCATCTTTTACAACAGGTCCAAATGGAAAGTCCAAACTCTTCCTAGAGGTAAAACAGAAAGTAATGAGTAAATTTATCCGGGAAACCTTAACGGTCTACTTCCTCACAAGGTAAATTTCTCAAGAGTGGAGCTGAATGGCTTCCTTCTTTCCAAACCCTCCATCGTCCATTCTCGGGGAGAAAAGCCAGAGGTGCACTTACCCAAACCTCGACGCCGTGCTCTCAGCAGCCCCGGGACACAGGCTGGGTTTAAAGGCCGCCAGGGCCTCGGGCGACGCTCCTCCACGACTCTCGCACCTCCTCCAGGCAGACCTCTCGGGTGCCTCACCTGGACTTCAGCAGCTCCGGCGGCTGGGAGACCCCAAAGGCCTCCAAGCGCGGACAGGTGGGTGTTACCCCGCGGCCGGGTGTCGAGGTGAAGCCCCGCTCGCGGGCCGCCCTCCCCGCGGACCCCGCCCCAGAACCTGGACACAAAGGGAAGAGGGCCACTCGGGCTGTGAGTCTCTCGCTCGGGCGGTGATCGCACTCTGGCCGAAGCCAGAGAGCCTCTGGACACTGCTGCCGCCACGTCAAGTCCTCGCTGGTCCCTGACGGCCCCGATGCCTCACCTCCGGCTCTTTCAACCTCTCTGGCTACAGGCAGAGCATCCACAAGAACAGCTTTCTCGCCTCCGGTCCGCTTCAGGACTGCAGCCGAAACTCGCGGGGCCCGCCCAATTCGGACAGCGCGCGCCCGCGCACGCAAATAAACACACCCAAAGCCCCTTGGGGCGGACGCCGGGGCGCGCGCTCGCTTAGGGAGAGCTCCTCCCCGGGAGGCGTGGCTAGGCCTACTGTGCGCGCGAGCGCCTGCGCGCTCTCACAGGGAAGAGGCCCTCCTTATAAGTGGGTGGAGTTAATGCGCGTGCGCACTCGCACAAGGACGGGCTTTTTTTTTTTTTTTTTGGCAAGGAAGGGCTTTTATCCCGGCAGCAGGGGCAGAGACAAGTCGCCGGCGCGCGCGCTCTCCCGGGGAAGAGCGCCTCCTCCCACGGCGGGGGCGGAGTCAAGCCGCGGGCGCGCGCTATCTCTATGCAGGGAGGACCCTTCGCAGGGCGATGTGCTTTCGGTGGCGCGCGTGGCCCGGACACGCCTCCTCGGGACCTGGGGGCCAGAACTTCGATAGATTTGCTTTGTAGCAATTGCCCCGTGACGGGGTCGCTGTGCGCCCGGTTTAAAGGACCTAGGAGGCTGGCAGCTGGGCCATACTCTGAAGCAAGCAAATGTCTCAAAGAACTAGAGAAGCTGCTTTCTGGGCGGCGCCAAGCCGGTGAGGGGGCGCGGTCTCCGCCGCAGCTTCAGGGGGGCAGGCACTGGCGGCCACGTCCCCTGCTTCCAGGGTAAAAAAGACGTCGCGCTTCGAGTTTGCATTCCTCGGAGTCTCCCAACATGACCGAGGTGAAGAGTCGGAAGAAGGCGGCGCCCAAGGCGGCGGCCGTGGAGCCCGCGATGCGGAGCGAGGAGGGGAAGAGACCCGAGGCCCGGGGCGGTGGAGGCAGGGGCTGGGCGGACCCCCGCACGGGCCTGAGCCTGCTGTCGCTGGGGACATGCCTGGGCCTGGCCTGGTAAGTGGACCCGAGACGCAGCTGCCCGGCCCTGTGCCCTGCCTCCTGGGGTCGCCCCACTCCGAGGGGGTCGCCCCACTCCGAGGGGGTGGTCACATTCCTGCCTGGCCCCACCCGGCTCTGCATGCTGCTAACCTTCCCGCAAGCCTCCAACCTCCACGCCAAACCATGGGTTTTCTTTCCCTCCTTTCTTGTCATTGATCTGTTACACTAGTAGCATGTTCGCTTTTCATTTAGTTGGAGTTGACGCCAAAGTTTAGAGAAAAGTCAGCCATTTCTTAGGAGATGGAGATTTTTCCAAACTTTATGACAGCTACACGTCATAAGCTTTCGCGGTTTTAGAAACCCTCCCTTCCTTTCTCTTTGCACATAACCAAGACAGTTCCCCCTCTTCCCAACTTTCCCTTCCACGCTATAGCTCCATGATGGAAACGTTTGCAGCTTTAACGAGTTCTTTATTATTTCAAAGCAACAGATGTTAATGCTACTATCAAAGTTGTGGAATTTCTCATTTTTTGATGACTGTGTTTCGTTACTTCGAAGCCTTTTTCTGAGGCTAAAAACCTTTAATACTCTAAAGGTGCAAAAATGCAACGTCCGGGGGCGAAAGAATTAGGAAGGGTCCAGTGGGGATCTGGAGGGTAACTGTGCATAGATCTAATTTTGTAAGACACAATGTATGGGAGTCATCATAGGCAACACAATGTGAGTAGGGTAAAAATAGATAATTAACGTTCACTTAAAACTAAGTATCGTTTTAAGATCAAGTAAATGTCGATTTACTGTACCATTGGAAAAAATTAATATAATCATAACCGCTCTGGTGCCCTAGTGGCAAGAAGCTCTGCTGCAGTCCCAAAGGCACATGGTTCGAGTGCACCAGATACTTCACGGGAGAAGGATGGGCAGTCTCCTGTGCGGTTATCTGCCTCTGAAAACCCACCGGGGGGTCAGCTGTGGGTGTGTTCCAACTTCAGTGGTAAACAATCACCACCACCACGTTTTCACCATTGCCTCCTTCAGGGGAACCTAATAGGGAGCTCTTGTGGCTTAGGGGTAGGAAGCTGTGCTGCCAGCCCCAAGGCAAGTTGTTCAAATCCCCCAGCTGCTCTGCAGGAGAAAGATGGGTAGTCTCCTTGGGTGTGATGTACAGCCTCAGAAACCTAATAGGATCACTTATGAGTCAGCTTCCATCCATCCCTCACCAAGAAAGAACTTAATAATTCAAGGATTTTGAGGTTTTTCTTAAGTATTGAGAAGATTGTTTTAACAACTTGGGATTCCTGTTGTTGAACCAACTCATAGCTGACCCTCCAGGTAATTTTCAGAGATAGTAAATACCCGGGAGAAGACAGCTCATCTTTCTCTCAAGGAGCACCTGATGGATTCAAACTGTGTGCCTTTGGAGCTCTCTTGGAGTACCTGGGTGAGGGGGGAAGGTAGTTAATAACCCAACTACTGTCATAGAACAACAGAGAGAGAAGTCTGCTGAAATAAAATGCAAATGGAGTTTATTGAGGCCTAGAGCATCTTACCAGGTAAGGTCCATTGTTACAGAGAGAAAAACAATCTGTTCTATAGGAGCACAAAAAAGGAGGCATTCGTATATTGTTGGATCAGAAACTAAAAGCTACAAAATTCATAACTTATAGTTCCTTAAAGCACGAGAGTGGCATTGCATGATCAATCAAAAAGTGCATGCTACTCAGTATATTATAAGATTGCCCCAGACTGACTACTAGACAGGTTGACACCACCTTGTTTGCTAAAAGTGAGAAGAAATTAAAGCACTCGCTGCAGAAGGGCAAAGATAGCCTTCAACATAGATTATATCTCCAATAAAACAAAAATCCTTAAACTAATCAGTAACATCGTGCTAGATGGGGAAAAGTTTGAAATTGTCCGTAATTTCATCTTGGATCCACAATTAACACTTGGTACCAGCAGTCAAGAGGTCAAAAACATATCACATTGGGGAAATGGGCTGTCAGGGACAGTGATGTCAGCTTAAAGATTAAGCCACAGTCTCTTCAAATTACTTGATAGGCATCTGAAAGTTTTACAGTGATTAATGATGACAAATTAAGAATTGATGCCTCTGAGTTTTGGTGATTTTTTTTAATCTGAAAAGTATAAATTTACTATTTTAGATAAATTGCTCTTAATAGAAATCTTTGTTGGGAAAATGACTCAATAAGAGAATTCAGTAAGCTACAAGATAGTGTTGCTTCTTTTGTTGTTGTTGTTGTCATGTGCCGTCGAGTCGCCTGCGACTCATAGCGACCCTATGTACAGCAGCCCTAAACTCCGCTCTGTCCTGTGCCAATTGCACTGTCTCTGACACTCCCATCCCAATTATCCCAGTCACTGAATCAATCTACCTCATAGAGGGCCTTCCTCTCCTGCGCTGTCCCTCCACCCTCCCAAGCATGATGTCCCTCTCTAAGGACCTGTCTCTCCTTACAACATGTCCAAAGTATGTCAGGCGAAACCCCAGAATCCTTGCCTCCAAGGAGCAGCCTGGTTTAACCCTCTCTAGGATGGATCTGTTTGTTCTCTTGGCAGTCCATGGTACACTCAATACTCTTCTCCAGCACCACAGCTCAAAGGCATCAATTCTCCTTCTATCCTCCTTGGTCATTGTCCAACTCTCTGATGCATAACAAGTGATTGCGAAGACCATGGCCTGTATCAGACGCACCTTAGTCTCCAGAGAGACACCATTGCTCTTCAGTACTTTGGAGAGGTCCCTAACAGCAGACTTTCCCATGGCAATGCGCCTTTTAATTTCCTGGCTGCTGGTGCCAAGAGTGTTGACTGTGGAGCCAAGCAAACTTAAGCTGTGTACAATCTCAATCTCTTCACCATCCATCCTGATGCTGCCAATTGGTCCAGTGGTGAGAATCTTTGTCTTCTTGACATGGAGCCTCAATCCATATTGTAGGCTGCAGTCCTAAACCTTGCTTCTTTTAGGATCTTAATATAACTGGAGTTAGTTGCTGAGTTTATTAGTTTGACTCTTACTATAGCTGAAGCTTCATATTCATGTGAAATCCATTACGTTAGAAAATGTTTGCTTTAGTGTATTTCATTACTGTCCTGAAAAAAAAAAAAAACCCAACCGGAAATAAAGTTTAAGGGAATAGGGGATGCATTACAAAAATTTATTTTTTTCATTTATTTTTTTTTTTGCCTGAGAAGTTTACACTAGGGGCTACACTAAAGATAAACATGTTAAATTCGTTGTTGTTGTTGAGTTCGGTCAAGTCCACTATGACTCATAGCAGCCCTGTGAACCCTGTCCTGACCTGAGCCATCCTTCTCATTTCTGGTACACTTGATCCCATTGTTCCAGCTACTGTGTCAGTTCATCTCGTCGAGTATCTTCCTCTCTTTCTCAGACCCTCCACCTTTCCAAGCATAGTATCATTCCATGTCCAACGAATAACCTCTCCTGACAACATGCACTGCATATGTGAGATAGTCTTTCACCATCCTTGCCTCCAAGGAGCACTTTGGCTCCACTTTTCCAAGGTATACCTGTTTGTTCTTTTGGCAGTCCATGACACTCAGTTCTCTTCAACACCACACTTCAAAGACTTTGGTCTTTCTTCTGTCACCTTTGTTCATTATACATTTCTTGGATGCATACTTAGCAGGTGATTGAAAAGACCATGAATCGAATCAGGCACACCTTAGCCTTTTAGCTGATGACCTTTCTCTTCAGTGCTTTGGTAGGTCCCTGAGAGCAGATTTTCCCAGTACAGTTTGTCTTGACTGCTGGTGTCAAGGGTGTTAATTGTGGATCCAAGTAAGATGAAATCATTGACAACCTTGAGATTTTCTCCATCTATTATGATGTTCTCAGAATTAGCCACAGTTTGTTGTGATCCACACAGTCAAATGCCTTTGCATAGTCATTGAATCACAGATAGACACTCTTCTGGTACTCTCTGCTTTCAGCCAAAATCCATCTGACATTAGCTATAATATCCCCAGTGCCATGACCTCTTCTAAATCCAGCCTACATTTCAGGCAGTTCTCTGTTGATGTGCTGTTCCAGTCGTTTTTGGAAAATCTTCAGCATAATCTTTTGCATGTGATATCAGTGATACTGTTCAATAATTTCCACACTCTGTTGGATCACCTTTCTTTGGAATGGGAATAGATACAGATCTCTTTTGTCAGTTAGTTGGCCATAGCTGACTATAAGAAGAATGGGAATCCCAGAACACTGGATCATGTATATGTGAAACCTTTGCTTGGAACAGAAGTCAGTCGTCAGAATAGGGCAAGGAAACACTGCATGATTCAAAATTGGGAAGGGTGTGCGTCAAGGATGTGTCCCATCGCCATATCTTTTCAATCTTTATGTGGAACAGATAATCTGGGAGGCTGGGCTCTATGAGAAGTGTGGCATCAGGATTGGAGGTAGACTTACCAACAATCTGCGTTATGCAAATGTCACAACCCTGCTTGCTGAAACTGAGGAGGACCTGAAGCGCTTGCTGCAGAAGGTCAAAGACTGCAGC